CATCTTTGCTCTTCAACACTGTAAAGAGGTCTTGTACAGTAGATTTGCCTGATGCAATATGTTTCATTTCTTGACTGCTCCTTCCATGAGTGTTGATGGTTGATTTGTGCAAAATGAAATCTTTGACAACTTCAACCTTTTTCTCCATGTATTGTGATGTTATTTATTGGTCCAGTGGGGATGATTTTTGTTTTTTTTTAAACGGAAGTACAAACCATACAAAAGGTTGTGGTCTTTGATCTTCATCAGTAAGTATTTTAAGTCCTCTTGTCTTTCAGCAAGCAAGGTTGTATCGTCTGCATATTTAAGGTTGTTAATGAGTCTTCCTCCAATTCTGATGCCATGTTTTTCTTCATATAATGCAATTTCCCAGATTATTTGCTCAGCAAATAGATTGAATAATTATGGTACAAGAATACAACCCTGGTGCACAACTTTCCTAATTTTAAATTATTTGTTGTTCCCTTCCTGTTTGAACAACTGCATCTTGGCTCCGTACGGATTCCTCGTGAGCACAATTAAGTGTTTCGGAATACTCATACTTCACAATATTATCCATAGCTTGTCATGATCCACACAATTGTGGAGTCAATAAAGCACAGGTAAACATCTTTCTGGTATTCTCGGCTTTCAGCCAAGACCCATCTGACATCAGCAGTCCTTCATTCCATATCCTCGTCTGAATCTGGCTTGAATTTCTGGCAGTTCTCTGTCAATGTATGGTTGCAGTAGTTTTTGTATTATCTTTAGTAAATCTTTCCTTACATGGAATATCAATGATATTGTGCAATGGTTTCCACATTCCTTTGGGATACCTCTCTTTGGAATGGGCACAAATAGGGATCTCTTCCAGTCAGTTGGCCAGGTAGTTGTCTTCCAAATTTTGTTGGCATAAATGAGTGACTGCCTCCTGTGCCACATCAGTTTGCTGAAAGATTTCAATTTGTACTCCATTGATTCCTGTGCCTTGTTCTTTGCCAATGTCTTCAATGTACCTTGTACTTCTTCCTTCAGTACCACTGACTCTTGATTATATGCTGCCTCGTGAAATAATTGAACATCAACAATTTCTTTTTGGTACAGTGACTCTGTGTGTTATTTCCATCTTCTTTGGATGCTTTCTGCATAATTCAATATTTTGACCATAGACTCCTTCAATAGCGCAAGTTGAGGGTTGTGTTTGTTCTTCAATTACCTCAGCTTGAGAAATGCTGAGTCTGTTCTTCCCTTCTGGGTTTCTAACTCAAAGTCTTTTGCACATTTCATTATAATATTTGATTTTGTCTTTCCAAGCCGACCTTTAAATTTTTCTGTTCAGCTTTTTCACCTCCTGACTTCTTCCGTTTGCTTAAGCATCTCTGTGCTGGAGAACAATTTTCAGTCTTTTCTGACATCCATTTTGGTCTTTTCCTTCTTTCTTGTCTCCTTAATGAATGACCTTTTACTTTCTTTCTGTATGATGTTCTTGATGTCATCCCACAACTCTCTGGTTGTCAATCTTAAGTGTCTGATGCATCAAATCTGTTCTTGAAATGATCTCTAAATTCAGGTTGGATATATTGAAGGTCATCATATAATTCTTATGTACTAGTTTTAATTTTCTTCAGCATCAGCCTGAATTTGCATATTAGCAATTCATGCTCTGTTCCACAGTCTGCCCTGAACTTGTTTTGTCTAATGATACAGAAGTTTTCCACCATCTCTTTATACAGATGTAGTCAATTTGACTTCTGTGTGTTTCATCTGGTGAGGTATAGTCATCTTTTATGCTGTTTACAAAAGGTATTTGCAATGAAGGAGTAAGTCTTGCAAAATTGTATTATGTGATCTCCAGCTCATTTCTATCACCAACGCCATATTTTTCTACTACTTCCTCTTTGTTTCTTACCTTTGCATTCCAACTGTCAGTAACTATCAACACATCTTGATTGCATATTTGATCAATTTCAGACTGAAGAAATGTGTAGAGTTCTTCAATTTCATCATCACTGGCTTTAGTGGTTGGTATGTAAAGTTGAACAATAGTGGTACTAACTGGTCTTCCTTATAGGCATATGGATATTATCCTATCACAGATAGCATTGTACTCCTTATCTTGATATGGTCTTTTTGATGATGAATGCAACACCATTCCTCTTTAATTTGTCATTCCTGGCACAGTAAACCATGTGATTGTCGGATTCAAAATGGCCAATACCAGTCCATTTCAGTTAAATAATGCCTTGGATATTGATATTTATGCATTCCATTTCATTTTTGACGATTTTCAGTTTTCCTAGACTCATACTTTATACATTCCATGTTCGAACTATTAATGGATTTCTACAGCTGTTTCTCTTCATTTTGAGTTGTGCACCATTGCAAATGAAGGTCCCAAGGGATTTACGGTCAAGACTACACTGAGAAGGCAGCTCTTCTCTGTCACATTCTGAGTGCCTTCTAACTTGAGCAGCTCATCTTCTGGCACTATATCTAACAATATTCTTGTGTTCCTCATCATGTTTCAATATTCTGGTGCTGACAGTGTTCCACTGCTATTAATAATGTTTTCAGTGATTAAATATTCTGAAGTACTCTCTCTCTCATTTTTCTAGCCTGTCTTCATCTGGAAGCATAGCTGAAACCTGGCCACCATGGGTGATCCTGCTGGTTTTAAAATACCAGTGGCATAGCTTCCAAAGTCACAGCAACATGCAAGTCACTACAGTACGACAAACTGACAGATTATATCTATCCTAAAGATGACATTTAATTTGATCTGTACAGTGTGTATCTAGGATTATATTTTCACTACTGATGCTGCTTTCACTCATCTATTCATACCAAGTGGATCAATTTGATGACCAACAAAGCTCACAGATGTGTCTACAGTAAGTCTATTTAGGTTAAACACAGTTTTGATGAATTAAAACTGAATTCATAGTCCTACCAGCAACATGTTCTAACCAAGTGAGTGCTGGAGGGTCGGGAGAAATGTGTGTGGAGGAAATTAATAGTTCCTATTCTTTGTCTTTACAATAGAGTTCTTGCTGTACAACAGAATGGCAGCATAAATGCTTACTGGGCCAAAAAAAAAGTCATTGTAAGGAGAGTATCAGTCTGGACAGGAATTGTTAAACAGTAGCATGTACCCCATATGTACTGAATGTGGGCTCACATGTTTCAATTTTTTAAGAGAAAATCTAATTTGTAAGTGAAATCTCTCGGTTTTTAGATGTATGCAACCAATTTGAAAAAAAAAAAGGAAAGTTGTGTGATTCAAGCAAAGAAAGAGAGCACACATGCTCTACTACTTTGTAAAATGAAAATGTAACTACCAGCATATTTTCATAATCTTCTCAGTCTTTAATAATTCAAATCTGATTTCTTGAATTTTGGGAGATTGGGGAGAAACTTTTAATTTTCTTCAAGTCATTGGATTTAGTCCTTAGATGGATTTGCATTAGCTTGTTGCAATACAACAAGCACACATTGTAGCACTGGTGTTGGACGACAGGGAGACGATCCACTTTCTGAGTCAAAGCATTAAGGGAAACTCAGTCCTGAAAGCTACATACCATTGTCAGTGGCCCCGAATTTGAAAACTGATCTAGGAACCATACGTTTATCATGGTGCTGCAGTGTGCTGACGAATCTTGCCTGAAAGTTTTCTATCCACTGCTCTTACCTCGTCAGATTCTGATTGTTCCTCCATAACACTTTGACTGTGATGACAATAAATATAACCACATTGCTGATGAGGATGACGGTAACAGGTAAGAAGAATGACCATAACAATGGACTTTTCTGGAAATCAGAGCCTTCTGGAACTGCCAACCAACAACTATGGAGAAAAATAAATTATTTCAGAAGATCAAAGTAGGTATATAGACTAGTTTCCTATGCCATTAACATCAATGATACTCACTCAACTGAAAGACCTGCTAAAGATGAGTACCCATTTGTATTATGTACATTTAAGATACCTTTAAAGAACTCAACCCACTATAAAGTGAAGTAGTTTGATTCTGCCATATTTCTCTATGACCAAGTATGGGGTAATAGAAAGATCACTCTCTGTCACTTACTAGATATCTGACTTTAGGAAGGCTACTGTTTTGGGATTTGTTTTTGAATTTTTATTTTTGACTGTATGACTGTGGTGAAGTGAATTTGCCTAAGATGGATTTTCTAGCCATAGTCTTTGTAACTTCTACCTAATGACTGAGTTGTTGTTTGTTGTTGTTAAGTGCCGTCGAGTCGGTTCCGACCCATAGCGACCCTGTACAGGGTTTCCGAGGGTGTAAATCTTTACGGGAGTAGAAAGCCTCATCTTTCTCCCGCGGAGCGGCTGGTAGTTTCGAACCGCTGACCTTAAGGTTCGCAGCCCGATTCGTAACCACTACGCTACCAGAGCTGAGTAGGAGGATGAAAATAGGGTGTGTGGGACTCTTAATGAGAGGATTAGTCAGTTTTGCCATCCTTCTGGGTGTAAACTGAGCTATTTCATAGGCAAGAAGAGGGGGAATCTCACGACCATCATGAAAGAAGGTGAACCCCAAGCAGAGTGCATCCTTTGTACCTCAAGATCCCTGAGTAGGGAAGCAGTGGCACCAAGAATTTGAGATAGAGTGGCAGCTTCCTGGCCCATGGAACAAATAAAACGGAACGTCTTTAAGCAGGAGGTTGAATCCATAATGGAGTGCCCTTTAGGCCTTCATCAGCAGTGCTAAAAGAGCTTTGTAAAACTTGCCTGAAACAGAGCAGAGGTCAAAAGGCCACATGGCAGAAAGAAACTAAGCACCAGAGACAGGCGTGTTCACATGCACAAATGAGAAGAGGTGTTCCTGACTGGAAGGACTGTATTCTAATCTTGAATTGTACTTTGTTAACTTCTTTAACTGGAGTCCTTCTGTGGTACTGTAGGATAAACACCCGACAACAAGCTATGTTTGAACCACAAGGTCAGTGGTTCAACCACACCAGCCACTTCTTGGAAAATTCCTACAGGGTTGCTATGAGTCAGAATCGACTCGATGGAACTTAATGACAACAATAACTTCCCTATTAAACCCCATAATCATGAATATTGTCTGTGAGTTCTATGTGGCCATTGTAACAGATTGTTGAAGCCAGCAGAAAAATAGAAAGTGTTGTGGAAGGGACAGTTGGGGTAAGAATTAGGAAAGTAGGAAAGACAACAGAGTCATGACTGACTATTGCCTCATAGGCCTTGGGTTTGATTAATAATGAGTCTGATTCTTATCCTTATTTTGTGTAGTCACAGGAGATAAGATGCCGCCTTAGCACCACTTTTACAATAACATATCTACATCATTCAAAATATAAAAAGGAACAAATGGACATAAAGGGACAAAGATTCCCTCATGCACCCATCTTCCAGTCACTTAGTCTATTCTCAGAAGAAATCAACACATCTTGGAAATCACTCCATATCAGACTACAGTATCCTCATTTTTTTTTTATAGCTTTTATTATGAATTGAGTGATAGTTTACATGGCAGAACATCGGTTTTGCACTCAACCAAATGTATTTTTTTCATTGCAATAATTACAATCCCCTTCATGCATCATCAGTTAACAATATTTGCCTGTATTCCCTCTCTGATTTTTTCTTTTTCTTTTTTTGATGTACACAAAAACACATAGGAATATATAATCATTTAAATAACTAAAGGACACATTTTACAAGCCAGCCTCCTGCCCACCAGCACACAGCCTTTCTTTTTCCACAAGTCTGAAGTCCTCAGCTGTTCTATCTAGCCATGCCATCACCTCTGCTTTCATGTCTGATGTTGCTGCTTCTCTGGTTAGGATCCCGTATTCTAATCATGCTCTTCATTCCTTATGGCCCTAAAGTCCTCTGTTCCTGGAGTGTAAGATTAACTACGCTCCCTTTTTGTTACACAACTTCTATCTTTAAAGTTGTGACAATTGCAATTAGTCATCATAACAATTACTATTGAATCAAAAGAATCCTATCCTCCTCTTCTTTCACCAGATCCATCTAGACAAGATGAAAACTATTCAGTGGGGATTCTACCTCCCTCCCCTCACACTGAAACTAAAGTCCCTCTTGAAAACTTGTGTAAGCCAGCCAATTTGTGGCTTTATAGCCTCCCAATTTAAGTAGCCAATGCCTAAGTTGTCCATCCCTATCAATACTGTGTACTCCAGGGATAGGCTTGATCCTTGGTGTGAAGACTCCTTCCCTCTCGGTTGGTAATTTGAGCAACTACATACATAAGCAGAGGTCAAGTTCATCAAATTGTAGCAATTTACACTTGCTTTTTTATTTTCCTCTAGTAAAGCTCTGATCATCAAACCATCCAAGCCAGGTCAAATGGGTATCATCTTCAAGTTTGGGCATTCTTGTGTAGCTTCTCCACTTCATATGAGCTGGACACTTCACTCTCAGCTCTAACCATCCTTGGCTAGGTCACTGTCCATAGGCTCAGGAGTTTCCAAGTGTCCCCAAACTTTAGACCAACCAGCATTTCCTCTTCTCTTTCACATCTCACGGTCAACAGGAGCCTATGGAACATGGGCTAACTCAACCCATGTCTTCATTACTGCCTTTCCCCCACTTCCACTCACAAGTAGACCAATGTGGTCACTAGTAAGCTTATAAGTGTGCTCATGTGTTCCTTTTGAGTTTCAGTCTTGGAATGAGGTTTGTCCTGAAGGGCCTTGGTGGCTTGCCTTGATGGCTCCCAGTTGAAGAGCTTGTTTGTTCTGGTAATAGCCAAATAGCCTGCTTTTATCCCTGCTGGTCTTTCTTTAAGAAGGCTCTTCTGTTCCTCTATCCACTCCAGGATTTTGGTGGTAGTGGTGGTAATAGTAATGGTAGTGATAGTAGTGAATGGTGTTTTTCCTCATCTGTGAGGTGAGAATAATACCAACCACCTGACATTGTTGAAAGAGTTAATTCATTCATTTAAAATGTAATTTATGAAAAAAAAATGTAATTTATGAAAAATGTGCTAAGTGTCAGAACTGCGCTGGACACCAAGGTTTTAGCGTGAACAAAACAGACAAATATTTCCTTGTTAGTGGGTGTATATTACAGTGGAGAGAAATAGATACAAAACAAGTAAATAAACTATGGATTCTGTCAGATGGTAACTAATGCTATGGAGAAAAACCAAGCAGGTAGTGAAGATAGGAATTACAGTATGTGTGTGTGTGTGTGTAATTGCCTTTGTTTAATAAGTTGTCTCATTTTAAGTAGGAAAAGCTTCCTGGGAAAAAATTGAGCAAAGACCTGAAGTAGAAAAGAGGAAAGGTATTTTAGGCAGTGAGAATTGTTAAGTGCAAAGACCCTGAGGTAAGAATTTAGCATCAAAGAGATGAGTGTGACTGACTGGGACAGGGTAAGTGGATTGTTGTTGTTGTTGTTGTTAGGTACCATCAAGTCAGTTCTTAAGCACAGTGACCCTGTATAGAGTTTCTGAGGTGAGCTGGTAAGCTTGAACCACTGACCTTGAGTTTCAAACTGACTTTGCAGTCACATTAACCCACAGTACCACACCGGGACTCTGAGTAAGTAGACAGAGTCAGTAAAAAGATGCAAATTACGTAGGGGACTTGCAGACAATTGTTTGAATTCTTGGCAAAACAGAATATGTGACATGACATGTCTAGAGTTTTAGGAAGATTAGAGAAGTGATGTTAAGAAATAGTTTGATTCCAGATATATTTCAAAGTAAAGCCATTTTTCTTTTGATGGGTTGGAAATGGGAGAATTAAGAGTGGTATGATCAACTGAAAGTTCAAAATTGCCATTAATAGAAAAGAGCAATTAGGTTTGGGAGAGGAAAACAGGGGCTTACTGAAAGACATGTTAAAATAAAAATTTTAGACAGCCAAGGGAGATCTCAGATAGACTGCTGGGTTAAATAAAGAAGAAGAAGAAGAAAACCTGGCAAAGGAAGAGTAAAACTCTCTGTGTGCAGATGATATGATCCTATACATAAACATATCCCAAAGATTCAGCAAGAAAATTGTTAGAATTCATTGAAAGATATCAGCAAAGTGGCAGGATATCAACATACAAATTTTAGTCATATTTCTTTACACTAACAAAGAGAACTCTAAAAAGGAAATCAGGAAAACAATACCATTTACAATAGCTATCCAAAAGATGAAATACTTAGGAAAAAATCTAACCAGAGAAACAAAAAATCCTATTTTTGTTTCTTTCCTTTCCAAAAAAAAACTACAAAACACTATAATAAGAAACCAAAAGAGACCTATTCAATGAAAGAATATACTATGGTAATGGATAGGAAGACTGAACACTGGAAAATGTTGCTATTACACATAATGATCTAGAGATAAAATGAAGTCCCAAGCCACAGTCCAACATCATTATTTAACTTTACATGGAAAGGAAAAAGACTTCAGATAAGTAAAGTACAACTAAAGAAGACTAGTGGTACTTGTCTGTCAGTTTGCAGTGGTGACTTGAGTGTTTCTGGAAATGATTCCACAAATATTTAAATACTAGCTGGGTTACCCATGATGGACAGGTTTCAGCACAATTTCCAGAGTAAGACAGGTTAGGAAGAAGGAGAGGTAGACTACTTCTGAATATTTAGGCACTGAAAACCTTATGAATAACAATGGTACATTGTCAGATACAGTGCATCAGACATTCATATGGTTGACTATGCTGAGAACAACAAATTTAAGATGCATGGCTTCTCATTCATCATCAAAGGGAACATTTCAAGAGCTATCTTAAAGTACAGTGCTGTCTTTGATAAAATAATGCCCATACACCTACATGAAAATCCAGTTAATACAACTATTCAAATTTAT